TGGTAATTGACAAATATTGATTTTTTTTCTTTTTTATTATTTATATTTTTTTCCATTTATTTTTATTAGTTGGAGGCTAATTACTTTACAATATTGTAGTGGTTTTTGTCATACATTGACATGAATCAGCCATGGATTTACATGTATTCCCCATCCCAATCCCCTTCCCCCTCCCTCTCTACCCGATCACTCTGGGTCTTTCTAAAATGCCTCAGTTACAATCTGTGGCTAGTTAGAAGAGTATGTGGGCTATTTTGCAGTTGGGCCATGATTCCACACCTGCTAAGGGAGAGACAGAGAAGAAGGCAGAGACAGGACAGGAGTTACAAACCATCACCTCTCACAGTCACCCAGTCTATATTCTGAGCACTTTCCCTGTGTCAGGCATTTGGTTGTAAGAAGAAATCTGCCCTCTTGGAACTTACAGGTGAGGAGTGGGGGGAATAAGAGACAGACATTAAACAGTTCTTCCATACGTAATGACAAGCTATGATAAATGCTCTGAGCAAAAGGTACAGGATGGAGGGTATGGAGGTGGGCTGGGAGAGTGCCAGTCTGCGGCAGGGGATCCCCACCTGCAAGCGTCAGGTCACCTTCAGCCCTTTCCTGAACCTCTCCCACAAGTGCCCCCTGACTCTGGCTCAGGAAGAGAAATTTACTCCACCGCCCCATGCCACCCCTGGACAGACTAAGACCTTCTCTTACTCTGGAGCCTCTCAGATCAGATCCAGCAAGTCTGGATGTGTGCTTTAAACAAACCAGGTCCCCATCTGCCACCAGCTGTCAAAAGTTGGAGTCATCGGAAAAGAGAAATTACAGGCACCATCCCCCTTTCTTCGGCTGCCTCCCTCCTGCAGGCCCTCAGCAGCCTCCACTCCTGACTGTTGCAAAGAGAAACAGTTATAACCACCTGGGGTTTCAGAACCACTCTCCTGTTATGGGCTGAGTTGTGTCCACCACCCCCAAATCATCTGTTGAGTCCTGACCCCAAGTATGGCTTCCCTGGTGGCTCAGTGGTAAAGAACCCGTCTACCTCCTGGGTTGGGAAGATCCCCTGGAGCAGGAAATGGCATCTCACTCCAGTATTCTTGCCTGGGAAATCCCATGAACAGAGGAGCCCAATGGTCTACAATCCATGGGGTCACCAAGAACTGGGCACAGCTTAGAGACTAAACAACAAAACCACAGTATGTAGGATGTGAGGGTGTGTTCTGTTTGGAGATAAGGCCTTTGAAAGGAAAAGGAAGGTAAAATGAGGTCAAATGGGTGGACCCTAATCCAACATGACAGGCCTCCCTACAAGAAAAGATGAGGATGCAAACCAAGGAGAAAAACAACCCCAGGGAAAAAACAACCCTGCTGACAGCTTGATCTGGGCTTCTAGCCTCCAGAACCGTGAGAAAATAAACACCTGTCGTCTCAGCCACCCAGCCCCCAGTGTTTTGTTATGCTGGCCCCAGTTCCTCAATTCAGGGAGGAGGCACTGAGGCTGGAAAGGGTGTGGGGGAGGGCATCATTTGGGTGCCGCCAAGCTGAGCTCCGCCCTCTAGGGCTCCCCATCCCTGCCCGGCTGGTTTCTCTACCTCTGGTTTCTCCCCCCTGCTGTGTATATAGATCATTCTTCCTGAACGCACCTCAGATCCAATTTTCCCACACACAACACCTTCAGCCGCCCAGCTCCCCCTACCCAGCAGGGTCTGAGTAAACAGCCTGGTTCTGTACCTGGAGCCCTGCGGGCTAGGCTCTAAGTCAGTGTTTCCATGTAAATCCATGGCTGATTCATGTCAGTGTATGGCAAAAAACACTACAATATTGTAAAGTAATTAGCCTCCAACTAATAAAAATAAACAAAAAAAAAAAGAAAAAGAAAGTTACAAAAAAATAAGTCAGTGTTTCTCAAACATTAAAATGCTGATTCCTGGGCTCTTCCACCCCAATATCTCTGGGATGGGGCTCAAAAGTTTATATTTCTGGATCTTCCAGACCCAGGGATTGAACCTGAGTGTCCTGCATTGCAAGCAGATTCTTTGCCATCTGAGCCACCAGGCAAGCCCAATAAGTTCCCAGGAGGTACGGATGCAGCCTCTTTCCCTAGGACCCCCCAAGGGCTCACCCATCAGAGCAGCTGCTTCCTTTCCCCTCCCGACCAGCTTCGTCCTGCCAGGAATTCTCTGCTGCCAAGTCGACACAGTGGTCAGATCCTGGGACTTCCCAACACAGGATAAAGTTGAGAGGTTGTGCTGCTTTTTAAAGGAAAAGGCTTATTGGAATTTGAACCAGAACAGGAATGGTTCCAGTCCCAAGGATCATTTGTTGTTGTCGTTCAGTTAAGTCGTGTTTGGCTTTACAGCCCCGTGGACTGTAGCCCACCAGGCTCCTCTGTCCATGGGATTCTCCACGCAAAAATACTGGAGTGGGTTGCTATTTCCTTCTCCACCAAAGGAGAACAGGGTAGCTTAAAAAAAAACACAGAAATCTAGACCCACTCCCAGATACAGACCTCCCTTCAAGACAGAAGACACGCTACTGTGATCACCTTTTCTATATGTAAATGATCAAAAGGAGCCCCAGCGAGGGTAAGTGACTTGTCCTGGGGAACAGCGCACTAGAGCAGAGACTAAGCAAGAACCCGGGCCTCCTTGGGTGTAGTCATGTGCTCCCCTCTGCTCACCTGCCTCTTCTGAGCCAAAGAGGGTCTCCTCTCACCCTGCCTGTTCTTACCTCTCCCCATCCCACTTCCTTGTGACCCCAGCTGGGCCCTGGCATTTCCAGCCATTGCTGAAATGGAGCCCCAAAGGACTATGAAACCTGCCAAAAGGAGAAGAGTGGGGAAAGCGGCAGAAAAGGAGGGAGAGAGGTGGAAACCTTTTATGGGGAGGGAAGGGGAAGCCCCCCATCAGTGTCCAGGAAGTTGGGGGCGGGGCTTCTCCTGGAACCTGCCCACATGTACCACCAGCTCTGCCTCTGAACCTTGAAGGGCTCTGGCTGCCGCCCTGGAAACCACAACCCACTGCGGGCCTCAAAGGAACCAGCTTCTGGCTTCCCTCTGCAACAGGCTGCGTGCTTCAGACCCTGAGGATTAGTTACTGCAAGCTTCGCACCCCTCGCTCGACCTGGACTTCTGCGGACACCCAGTCCAGCCGGTGGGGCTGGAGCTGGGGCCAGGCACCGGGGGTAGACAGCTCCCAGCGCCACTAGGACCCTGCAGGGTGCGAGTGAGACGGACTGCTGGGAGACCTGCCCCAGGCACCCCACCCCACCCCCATGTCACCTGGAGAGAAACTGGACCCGCTTCCTGACACTTTCATCCTGCAGCCGCCAGTCTTCCACCCGGTGAGCAGCCGCTCAGGTCTGGAAACTCCTGGGTCTCAGGGCTCCCCCTTCCAGCTGGGCCCGGTCTCCCAGGTTGGCAGGGGGCTGGAGAGGCCCTGAGTCCTGGACCCTGTTTCCCCAGCCCCTGCCCACGGCTCTTGGAAGGTCCTCCTGAGCTTAGAGTGACTGACAGCTCATTTTCACTTGCTCTCAATGAGCTCATGGGATGATTGCATTTTAAAAGCAGTAGAGCCTGAAGACAGTGCTGTCTTCTATTCCACAGTGGGTGACTAAGAGGGCCTGGGGGGCGGAGGGCGGGGGGAGTGCGTAGTATCGTTGGGGGACCCTGATCACTTAGGAAGGGCAGTCTCATCTCCAGCCTGGGAGTCAGGTCAGAACCTCCCAGTCAGACACAGGGTTGGGGTTTCCTAGACTCCTCCTTAGGCCCAGTGCCCTGCAGATTTCCTGAAGCCTGACAGTGCATTACAGACGACCAAACTCCCAGGAGACCCACCCTCCCACTAATGAGCACTAATTATACTTTCTCTTTCCTTGGTCCTCTCTCAGGAGAACAGCTTCAGCTCAGTTAATTACAGGCCAGGCCCGAAGCTTGGGAAGTGGGAGGGACTGACATGCTGAGCCTGGCTAAGCTGTGGGCACTCTGATAGCCGGGGCCTCCCGATCCTCCCCAGGTTAGAGGGGCCCCTTGCTTTGCAAGCTGCAAACTCCCACCTGGAGGGCAGAGCTGTGGGGTCTCAGCTCTTCTTGGCAGTTTGGGCTTCTGAAAGCTGCCGGGAGTTGGAGAACAGTGGGTAAGGGCCCATCCTGTGACACTGCCCAGTATGAACCTGGGCAAGTTCATGTTTACTCTGCAGATAGCTCTTTAGAGCCCACTCTGTGCCAGGCTGGGCACTGAGCCTGTAGAAGCTAAAGACAGGAGTTTGTCTTAGGGGCTTGTCCCTCCCAGCCTGAACAACCAGCCACAGGGCTCTAAGCCAGTCAGCCAAGGGCCAAACTAGCCATGGCAGCAGAGAGCTCAGTGAGGGAAGGGATAATTCAGGCACCAAAACGGACGATGCTTGGAAAAGCAGTCAGAGCCTGGGCAGTCAAGTCAGATTTCACAAGGTGGAGGGAGGGCTGAGGAAACAGTCCCAGAAAGAGCCAGAAGCAGTAAAAGTGTGCATCATCTTTTAGGAATACCGGGGGGAAGGTGAGCTGAGAAGGTAGACTAAGTCATTATCAGGCATCCATGCCAGGATCTGTGCTCAGATCCCAACTTGTCCATCCCTCTGCCTCCCAGTTCCCAGGTTCTGGCCTATAAACAGTCCTCGGGGAGACTGGACACCAGGCTGCTGGAGGCCAGGGTGGCAGCCCGGGGACTGTGAACCTCAGTGGGGTCACTACCGCGCCCTAGAAGCTGAGAGGGGGGCTGGGCTGGTGCTCCCAGGGTGCAGTGGAGCTGAATCCAGCTCCCCCCATGCGGTGTGGCCTGGACGTTGTGAAGCTCCAAGACAGGAGAGGAGACGAAAGAGAACATTTCAGAGAAAACTTGCTTTTCCCCATCAGGACATTTTCTGTTTGGGGTGGGAGAGTTATCTTGTTCCTCTTCCCTCCCCATCCCACCCCCAACACAGGGGTCCCTAGGCACTTTCTCCAACCTTGTACAGATGAGTTTCTTCTTTGTTCAGGTGATTCCTTATGTCACAACAATTTTTGGTGGCCTGCGAGCAGGCAAGATGGTCATGCTCCAGGGAGCGGTCCCTCTAAATGCACGCAGGTAAGGGAAGTGCTCCACGGGGCTTCCTCTCTGCCTTCAGGGTCTCTGAGAGTCTCTGACCAGAGGTGCCCTTTGAGAGCCTCACCTCCCCACAGGTTCATGGTGGACTTCCAGTGCGGCTGCAGCCTGCACCCCCGGCCAGACATTGCCATCCACTTCAACCCTCGCTTCCACACCACCAAACCCCACGTCATCTGCAACACCCTGTACCGTGGGCGCTGGCAAGCCGAGGCCCGGTGGCCCCACGTGGCCCTGCAGAGAGGGACCAGCTTCCTCATCCTCTTCCTCTTTGGAAATGAGGAGATGAAGGTGAGCGGGAGGGGACACCAGGGCTTCCCAGGTGGTGCTCGTGGTAAAGAACCTGGCTGCCAATGGAGGAGATGCAGGAGACGACCCCTGGGTCGGGAAGACCCCCTGAAGGACATGACAGCCCACTCCAGTACTCTTGCCTGGAGAATTCCATAGACAGAGGAGCCTGGAGGGCCACAGTCCATAGGGTCGCAAAGAGTCGGACACGACTGAAGCGACTTCGCACGCACGCACGGGAGGGGACATCACGGGGTCTAGAACTTGTGTCCCTCTGCCTCTCTTTCCTCCAGCCTTCCCCCTTGTCACTGAGTTAAGGGATATTTGGAGGGATGGAGCACAGAGTCCAGTACTCAGAGGACCAAGGAGCTGCCAGGCCTGGTTCCAAGCTGCCCTGGGCCCACTTGGCCCGGTATACATGGCGGTATTGATGCCAAGGTGCTGCCACTGTCACAGGGAGTGTCTAGAGAGCACTGCAGATGCCAGATGCTGTTCTCAGCTCGCTGACTCCTCACAACAACCCACGAGGAGGGAACTTTCATTCTCCCCATCACACAGAACAGTGGGGAAGGAAGGGAGAAAGAAACTTGGCCTCAAGGCTTTCACCGCTGCTGCGAACTCCTGCCAGAAGGATCTTCAGGCTTCTCCAGGGCAGAGGGAGCTGGTGCGAGCCAGCACTGCAGAGAGAGACAGGGGTCCCAGAGCCCCTGAGACTCCTCACCTGTGGATGGGGCAGGCGGAAGGCTGCTGCGGCTGCCGGCAGGTCAGCTAAGAGGCGAAAGGGGGCCAGCGTGGTGTGTCAGGGACCAGGCGGAGCATTGAAGGTGCTCTGCCTGCCAGTTCCATAACCCTGGAGAGGCTACTTAAGTTCCCCCAAGCCTTGGGCACCTGTCTGTAAAACATACCTGCCTCCTAGAGTTGGTGTGAAGTTAAAAGAGGAAAATTCCAGTAAGAGACTCCGTGGATGTCTGGCACGTCAGGACGGTCTCAGCCTCGTCTTTTTCTCCAGGTGAGTGTAAATGGACAGCACTTCCTCCACTACCGCTACCGGCTCCCACTGTCTCGGGTAGACACCCTGGGCATATTTGGCGACATCTTGGTGACGGCCGTTGGATTCCTGAATGCCAATGTAAGTTCCTCTGGGGCCAAGGCCTGGGTGGCAGCAGCCTCTGACTTCTCCTGATGCCTGGACAAACCTGGGACCCACTTCCATCCCAGACAAGTCCTGACACCGATTACAGCCAGGGTGGAGGGCATCCATCCAGGTGTGGGACATGGCGGGGCTGAGGGAAGAGGCGACCACAGAAGAGGGGCCCAAGAGCCTGGGGCAGAAGTCTATCCTGGACGTGAAAGTGAAAGTGGCTCAGTTGTGTCTGACTCTTTGAGACCCCATGGACTGTAGCCTGCCAGGCTGTTCGGCCCATGGAATTCTCCAGGCAAGAATACTAGAGTGGGAAACTGTTCCTTTATCCAGGGGATCTTCCCAACCCAAGGATCAAACCCAGGTCTCCCACATTGCAGGCGGATTCTTTACCCTCTGAGCCACCAGGGAAGCCCGTGAATACTGGAATGGATAGCCTATCCCTTCTCCAGGGGATCTTCCCGACCCAGGAATCAAACCAGGGTCCTTTGCTTTGCAGGCAGATTCTTTACCAACTGAGCTGCCAGAGGAGCTATCCTGGGCGTGGGGTCTGGTCAATGTGGAGCAGTGGCCAGAAGGCAAATGACTTAGAGTCTTGGAGCCGTGGGACCCAAACATAGCACTGGCTGTATCATTCCCAGCTGAGGAGTTGATTTAAAAATGCAGATTTCTGGGACCCAGCACCAGAGATTCTGATTTAGTAAGTCAAAGGTAGGGCCCAGGAATCTGCATGATCAAAATGCCAGGTTTGAGAAGCCCTGACAAGGCCTCTGGGGAGAGGAAGAGCTACCAAGGCCACAGCTGGCCTCTGCCCTCCTTCCCAGGCACAGAAGGGCAGACGGGAGCCAAAACAGTCAAGCTCTAGGCTTGCAGTGGTCCTGAATCCTGCCTGTTGCTTTTTCTCTCTCCCAATAGCCATTCGCAGAGGGTGGCAGCGAGTATCCGGTTGGACACGTGAGTCTTGGAAGCTGGGTTAGCCTTTTCTGTCCCAGCCATCCCAGCTGAGCTGGTACCCCTCTCTCTGACCCCAGCAGGACCTGCCATTCTCTGGGCTGCTGCTCACATTGCGCAAGGCCCAGCTGCCCCTTCCCTCACTGTGCGGTCACCATGGTTACAGCTGGCCCTGCCTCAGCCCATGGGAGCCTGGATTTGCCTCTCCCTGGTGCCAAGGCCAGCTAGGGAGGACGGATGGGGTGGGCTGACTTCCTGGAGTGTGCAGGGCCCAGCCTTTCTGCCGGATCCATCTCAGATGGAGCTTCAGCAACCCTGCAAGGTAGCAGGTTGGCCTGCAGGGCAGAAGGGAGATGAGACCCAGGGACTCGGCCAGGGTCACGCAGTGAGTGAATGACAGACCCTCCGTCCAGTTCTTCCCCATTATTCCAGAGTCAGTGTCCACCTGAATTCAAGAGGGCCCCACTGGAGGGCCAATCATTTTCCTGTATTATCTCTGAGAGAAGCAAATCCCCAGTATCCCCAACTTTTAAGGATCCCTTTTATTGAGTGAGCGCCACGTGGCCTCCATGTCGCCTCTTTCTTTCCTTGACAGCCTTTCCTGCTGAGGAGCCCAGGGCTGGTGAGTGACCGCTGCTCCTGTGTCTGGTGGAGGGACAGTCCCTCACCTGCTCTATCAGGGCTGGGAGGGCGCCCCCACCTGGCGGGAAATGGCCCCCAGCACCAGAATTTCCCCTTGAATTGCAAGCTGTGGGTGAACGGGCAACTTCAGGCTAAAGCTCCAGCTTCATTTTACCAATTCTCCATTTACCTATTCTCCATTCTCCACACAATTTTCTGATAGTCGTCCCTGCTAGGCCCAGCCCCAGGCTCTAGGGTGGAGGTACATATCAGCTCCACCCCTCCAGCTGCTTACAGACTGGTGGGGAGGCAGACCAAGGAATGAGCCGTTACCATTTGGAGCTCAGCATTAGGGGCTCACAGCACAGAGGGGCAGGCGAAGAGAAGGGGAGGACAGGGAGAGCAGAGTACAGGAGGCCGGCCTGCAGTAGGTGTATAATAACTGAGCAGGGCTGTTTCCTCCTGGCTGCAGGCGCAGAGGCAGAGATTTACCTGCCTCGGGGCTCCCTGGCCCCTAAGGACAGCCCAGGAAGCAGCTCCTCGGGGCAGTAGCCCTCCCCAAGCCCTCTGTGAGACCCCACCCCCACCCCCGCCTCTGAGTCATCTCCTGTGTTCCTGTAGGAGGCGCCCTGCTCGCATGCCCTTCCCCAGGGTCTCTGGCCTGGACAGGTCATCATCGTGCGGGGCCTGGTCTTACCGGAGCCAAAGGAGTAAGTATGCAGAATTGGGGGGCGGGGTGGGGGACGGGACGCATCTCTGTGCCAGGCACAAGCTTTAGAAGCATCACCTCTTCAATCTGCAGGACCACTGCTTAGCCCCCAGGTGAGGAGACAGAGGAGCAGAGAGCAGAAGTACGTTGCCCAAGGTCACAGCCTGTGACAGTCTCCAGGGCTCAAGTGGCTTTGTGGCACCAGCAGCTCCAATTCTGGGAGCGTCTTCCCTGCCTGGACGTGTGGTCAGGCCGGCCAGCCTCTCACCGCAGGCCCCGGCTGCAGCCTCAGGAAAGGCCCTTTAAAGACACAGGCTGGGACTTCCACGGCAGCCCAGTGGTTAGGACTCTGCGCTTCCAGTGAGGGCGCACAGGTTTGCTCTCTGGTCAGGAAATTAAGATTCTCTCATGCCTCTCAGCCAAAAAAATAAAAACTAGAGAATAAAAGTGTACAACTTGGAAAGTCGCTACAGATGAGAGGACATGATCTCCCATAGTGTCCTAGTTTAGGAAACACCACCAGAGGACCCCAGAGAGTAGGCCCGGCACTGGGAGGTGGGGGCTTAGAGGAGCTCTAGTCAAGTGGATGCTGCCTGGCTTCCCCCACAGGGGGCGCTACTACTTCATCCCTCAAACCTGCAGGCTCCAGTAAGACAGTTATCTTTCTTTTCTTTCTTTCTTTCTCCTTCTTTTCTTTCCTTCTTCCTCATCATCCTTCCTTCTCTCCTTCTTTCCGGAACTGCACTGGATCTCATGACGTTTCTGGACCCGATTTCCTGGGTTTACTTCTGTTGCAGGCGTGCGTGCTAAATCGCTTCAGTTGTGTCTGATTCTGTGTGACCCTACGGACTGATGGGCCTCAAAAACCAGGCACGACTGGGTTGGATTCCTGGTTTTGCCTTTTATGAACTGTGGTCTTGGGCAAGTCACTCCACCCCTCTGAGCCCTGAGTTCCCCCATCAGAAAAAAAGGAGAAAGATAACCCCACCTGAACAGGGAAGATGAAAAAGTTTCCAGTAAAGAAAAGAACCCCTGCTCCTTCCCAAACTTGGAGACAGGAAGCCAGATCTTAGCTCAGAGTCACATGCGTTATTAGTAGTTGACACACAGATCATTTTACTGTTCTCTCTCAAGGGCCGTGAATTCACGTGTCCTCAGAGGCCAGGCAGGTCACGTAAACAGTGAGGCACCAGGTTGGGAATGTGGTGAAGTGGAAAGAATATTTCTGTAGATTTTCTGATGCCAGATCTGAACTTTTTAAAAAAAAAGAAGCCAAAAGTTCTCTTTTGTATAAACTTTCTCAGTTTTCGAAAATGATAATACTTTAAAGTTGAACAATACTGGGGACCAGCCAGAACATTTCTACAGGTTAGGTCAGCCCTGGGCCACCGACCTCAAGGCTTAGCACAGCACCTGGTGTTTATTTAGCAAACCTGCAAGCCCCTTCTCCGGCCCCTTCCCGCAGTTTCACGCTCAGTCTGCGAGACGAGGCTGCCCATGTTCCCGTGACGCTCAGGGCGTCCTTTGCAGACAGAACTCTGGCCTGGGTCTCCCGCTGGGGCCGGAAGAAGCTGATCTTGGCCCCCTTCCTCTTCTACCCCCAGCGATTCTTCGAGGTGGGTCAGAGCCCAGACCCCTGGTCCCTCTGGGGTGGAGCGCAGAGCTGCACTCCCATCTGGGAGAGTGGGGGTATGTCCGGGGAGGGGGGGGCGCGGTTTGTGGAGCCAGAGCCACTAGAAGAGGAAATCAGTGAGCCTGATTGCACGCCCTGAAACACCAATTTAATTAATCAAAGTGGGCCCTGGCCTCAGCATTATTAAAAAGCCCTGCTAATGACCAGTGTGCAGCTGAGGTTGAGACCACTCCCCCAAGGGAAGCAACCCCTGTCACAGATGGTGAAACGGAGGCTAAGCCCTGGGCAGATCCTTGTGGCAGGGCTGATGATAACCTGGGCCCCTCCGTCATCCCGTCTTTTTCACCACTGGGCGCCCCATGGGTCCATTCCCTGTGTCCTTTGATGGAAGGAGAAGCTCACCGGATGGGGCGTCAGGCAGGCAAGGGAGGGTCTGGGAGCCTGCAGCACCCCATGCCCTTCTGCACCAGGTGCTGCTCCTGTGCCAGGAGGGAGGCCTGAAGCTGGCACTCAACGGGCAGGGCGTGGGGGCCACCAGCCTGGGCCAGCAGGTCCTGGAGCAGCTACGGGAGCTGCGGATCAGTGGTAGTGTCCAGCTCTACTGTGTCCACTACTGAGGAGGGAGCCAGAGGGCCCAGCCAGAGAAGAGGACCTGCCTATACCGAGGGCCCCACCAGCTGACCCCACTCTCCTCCCCTCATTAAAAGCGTCGCCACGATGTCAGGCCTGGCTCACCTCCAGAACCAGGAACCTGAGTCTGCAGATGCTCTGGGCCCCACAGCAGAAGGTGGGCACAAGAATGTGAAGGCTCCAGAAACTCTGCAGCTCCCTCTTCTGAGAGCCTGGGATTTGGCTCTTCTGTCCTTCAGGGTCTCTAAAAGGGGGTAGATACTCCAAATGAAGCCTAACAAATGTACTAACGAAGGTACCCCAAAATACAGCAGCTTTAAAAATTGAGATGTTTGTTTCCTTCTCACATAAACAGAAAATGGTTCAGGTCAGTGGGTAACTGCTCCCTGTGGACCTGCTGGGTCATCCCACAAAACCCAGAGCATCAGCATCACCTGCATGGCTGAAGCATGGTCACCACTGGATCTGGGTTTCAACCACTGAGAAGGCAAATAGAGAATATGGACAAGGCCCCCCTGATGTTCTAAGCCCCGGCCTGGGATTGGCACACACTATTTGCACTCACATCTCATCAGCAAATAGTTACATGGCCACACAGTCTACAAGGGAGGCTGGAAGTGTTCTCTGTGAGATGACCATGTGCCTGGTCACAGATCCACAACTGTGATTCCTGGAGTATTTGGTATTATTCATATGATCTTATTTTGTGTTTTCTACTTACTATTGCTATTTTGTCCTTATGTTTTTCAGCTTTCATACTTACTATTGGATTGATGAAGTCTCCTTTATCACCCTCCCATTTTTTTCTTAAGCTAATTTGAAAGTTATGAATTCCATTTTATATACTTCTAGTGGTTATACATACTTTTTATTTTATTTTTTAATTAACATGTAAAATTGACTTTCCAGGATGGGTAAAATTCTAGATTTGTGTGATGACCACCAATACAATCAGGATATATAACTCCATCATTCCAAAAAATTCCTTAGTGTCACTTCTGTGTAATCATACCTCTCCACCCCCTCCCTTCAGTTCAGTTCAGTTCAGTTCAGTCGCTCAGTCGTGTCCGACTCTTTGCAACCCCATGAATCGCAGCACACCAGGCCTCCCTGTCCATCACCAGTTCCCAGAGTTTACTCAAACTCATGCCCATAGAGTTGGTGATGCCATCCAGCCATCTCATCCTCTGTCGTCACCTTCTCCTCCTGCCCCTAATCCCTCCCAGCATCAGGGTCTTTTCCAATAAGTCAGCTCTTCACATGAGGTGGCCAAAGTACTGGAGTTTCAGCTTCAGCATCCGTCCTTCCAATGAACACCCAGGACTGACCGCCTTTAGGATGGACTGGTTGGATCTCCTTGCAGTCCAAGGGACTCTCAAGAGTCTTCTCCAACACCACAGTTCAAAAGCATCAATTCTTTGGCACTCAGCTTTCTTCACAGTCCAACTCTCACATCCATACATGACCACTGGAAAAACCATAGCCTTGACTAGACGGACCTTTGTTGGCAAAGTAATGTCTCTGCTTTTTAATATGCTATCTAGGTTGGTCATAACTTTCCTTCCAAGGAGTAAGTGTCTTTTAATTTCATGGCTGCAGTCACCATCTGCAGTGATTTTGGAGCCCCAAAAAATAAAGTCTGACACTGTTTCCACTGTCTCCCCATCTATTTCCAATGAGGTGATGGGACCAGATGCCATGATCTTAGTTTTCTGAATGTTGAGCTTTAAGCCAACTTTTTCACTTAACCCCCAGCAACTCACTGATCTGCTCTCCATTACTGTATTTTGTATTTTGAGAATGTCCTATAAATGGAATCAGGTAGAATGTGACCCTTTGAAATTGGTTTCTTTCAATCAGCAGTACCTTTGGGTACTGATCTAAGTTGCTGTGTGTAACACTGAGTCATTTCTGTTTATTATTAATACTCAGTATGATTCTATTGTACCGCAATATATCTATTGACCCACTGAAGAACATTTGGGTGGTTTTCAGTTTTTGACAATTATGAATAGAGCTGCTAAAAACATTTGTGTACAAGTCTTTGGATGAATGTAACTTCATTTCTCTTGGTTTACTACCTACCAATGGGCTTGATGGATTATGTGGTAAATGCATGTCTAATTTTATAAGAAACTATCAAACTATTTTCCAGAGTCATTTCAGAGTAGCTTTGGAAATTTCACATTCCCACCAGCAATCTATGACATTTCCAGTTGTTCTGCATGCTCATCAGTACTTGTTATTGTCAGGATTTTTTATGTTAGCCATTTTTGATGTGTAGAGGTATCTCATTATGGCTTTAATTTGTATTTCCCTAGCAGCTAAAGATGTTGAGCATCTTTTCATGTGCTAATTTTCCATCTGTGTGTTCTCTCAGAAGTGCTGTCCCTTTCTCTATTTTCTGGAATTTTGTAAAAATTGGGACTATTTCTTTAAACTGTTCATGAAATTCGCTGGGGAAGCTATCTAGACCTGGATATTTCCATTTGGAAGATTTTTTAATTAAAAATTCAATTCCTTTAATAGGACATAGAAATAGACTGTGTATCTATTTTATCTTGGGTTGGCTTTGTTAGTTTGTGTTTTTCAAGAAATTGATCCATTTAATCTAGATTCCATATATATGCATTAATAGGCAATATTTGTTTTGCTCTTTCTGACTACTTTACTCTGTATAACAGGTCCCAGGTTCATCCACCTCACTACAACTGACTCAAATTTGTTCCTTTTTATGGCTGAGTAATATTCCATTGTACATATATACCATATCTTCTTTATCCATTCATCTATCGATGAATATCTAGGTTGCTTCCATGTCCTGGCTATTGTAAACAGTACTGCAATGAACACTAGGGTACATGTGTCTTTTTGAATTGTGGTTTTCTCAGAGCATATGCCCAGTAGTGGGGTTGTTGGGGCGTCTGGTAATTTTATTCCTAATTTGTTAAGAAATCTTCATACTGTTCTCTATAGTGACTGTACCAATCTACATTTAATCGTAGTCATCAAATGTAATACATACATACAGTGCATAATATGATTTTCTTATCTTTTCAATGTCTGTGGGGTCTTTAGTGAAAACCCTTCTTTCATTTCTGATATTGGTAATTTGAATCTTTTTCCCTTTTTTTCTTTGTCAGTCTCACTAGAGTTTTACCAACTTAATTGGTATTTTCAGAAAAACAGCTTTGACCCTATTGATTTTCTCTACTGTTTTCTGTTTCCAACTTTATAGATTTCTGCCCTTATCTTTTTTATTTCCTTCTTTTTACTTGCTTTGGCTTATTTTGCTCTTTTTTTTCTAATTTCTTCAGTTGAAAGCTCAGAGTACTGATTTTAAACTTTTCTTCTTTTCTAGTATAAGCATTTAAGATAATACATTTTTTCTCAGCACTTTACCTATACTACACAAATTTTGATATTTTGCATTTTTGTTCATTTTAAAATATTTGCTAATGTCCGTTGAGACTTCCTCTTTGATGGGTGGATTATTTAAAAGTGTGTTATTTAATTCCAAGTATTGTAGATCATTCTGATACCTTTCTGTTATTGAGTTATAGTTTAACTTCATTATGGTCAGGAACACACTTTGTATAATTTCAATTATTTTAAAATTTTTAAGATCTTCTCATGATCCAGAATATAAACTTCAAGTTCCTGTGGGCACTTGAATGTGTACTCTGATGTTACTTGTTCAACAAATGTCAGTTCGATCCAATTTGTTGATGGTATTGTTCAGCTTTTCTGTATTCTTGCTGGTTTTCCATCTACAGGTCCTGTAAGGTTTTCAGAGAGAAATGTTAAAGCCTTCAGCTATAATTACATGTTTGTCTATTTTTTCTTTCAGTTCTGTCTGGTTTTGCTTCCTTTATTTTGAAGTTCTGTTTTTTGGTGCATATTAAAGTGCTTTAGATATAATACTGTTTCTCATGGTTAGATAGCATTACCAACTCAATGTACATGAATTTGAGCAAACTCAGGGAGATAGTGGAGGACAGAGGAGCCTGGCATGCTTCAGTCCATGGGGTCACAAAAAGTTGGACACAACGCAGTTATATCGCCAAATGTCCAGGGTGGTAGAGGGTGGGGGTTTAAATTTCCCCAGCTGAAAACCACTGGTCTATTATATTTAATTTCTGTTGTTCTTCCTTCCTTCCTGATGTTCCTGATTTCCTTTTAGTATCATTTCTTTTTTTCTGAAGAATTTCCTTTAGCAATTGTTATAGAGCAGATGCAGGTAATAAATTTTCTTGGTTTTCCTTTAACTAAAGACATTGTTTGTTCACTTAGGTGAATAGTTGAACACTTACAGGTGAAATTGCTGAATTGTAGGGTTGGTGTATGTTATGTTAAGTGTATGAGGGGGACTGGGGTGGGGTGGGAGGAGTGGATGGGCAGCGTGTGCATGTGTGATGGTGAGATGGAGGAGAAAGAAGGAACAGCAATGGAAGCAGGAGCGAGAAGGTGAGTAGTGAGAATCTTAAGAACAAGTCTACAAAATACAGATTTATTTCAAAAACTGGTTGGTGGCTTGGCAGTTTTTTATTAGCTTAAATATACACTTACCATATTGTAGGGAGAACAAACGGAATGTAGAAAGAGTAAACATAACGCCATGATAGGAGGCAGAAGCAGGAAGACCAGGCCCTCACCCTGGCAACTAAGGCGACTATCAGGTCACCAAGACACAACCAGTCAGAGACTATCAGGCCACCCAGATACAGCCAATCAGAACTTGTTACGGAAAGATCCCGCGCGCGCGAATGTCTGACCAATGAAAAGACCCCCGCGAACATGTAACCAATCCGCTTCGCTAAATGACCCCTGCTTATGTTTGAAATTGGATGTTCTATAAATATGGGTAGAAAACCGGGCTCGGGGCTCTCAGCCTGTGCTCCACTGCGTTGGACACAGCGGGGGCCCTAGCTCGAGCTAGCAATAAACTTCCTTCTTGCGTTTTGCATTGTCTCTTGGTAGCTTTCTCTCTTCCCGCTCGGGGATTCGGACATCGGGCATAACATTTGGGGGCTCGTCCGGGATCCCTTGGCGAGGAGAGAAACCTCCCGAGACAGAAGGAAGAATCCGAACGGTACCGGTACCCAGTCAGGTCAGGGAAATCCAGTGTAAAACCGGGGCCTGCTAGGAGAGCAGGGAGGTAACTGGTACAGGGAAATCCAGTGTAAAACCGGGGCCTGCTAGGAGAGCAGGGAGGTAACTGGT